TGAGCACATCCTCTCGTGTGCCTCAAGCCGTCCCTAGATTACTTCTACTATATAATGCAATGTAATCGCCAAGTGGCAGTTACTGTCTGGGGAATGATGACAAGGAAACAAAGCCTGTACATATTCACTGCAGACACAAGTTTTCTTTCTATTTCTTACCCATGGTGCACTGAATCTACAGAGGCAGAACCAATGGATACAGAAGGCCAACTGTGCTATCATTATTTACATTTTACAGTGGAGGTGACTACTTTGTCTAAGGTCAAGCTAGTGAGCAGAGCCTACATTTATTTACTCTTTTTTTTTTTTTTTTTGACAGGCAGAGTTAGACAGTGAGAGAGTGAGAGTGAGAGAGAGAGAGAGAGAGAGAGAAAGGTCTTCCTTCTGTTGGTTCACTCCCACAAATGGCCGCTACGGCCGACACGCTGTGCCAATCTGAAGCCAGGAGCCAGGTGCTTCCTCCTGGTCTCCCATGTGGTGCAGGGCCCAAGCACTTGGGCCATCCTCCACTGCCTTCCCAGGCCACAGCAGAGAGCTGGACTGGAAGAGGAGCAACAGGGACAGAACCGGCGCCCCAACCGGGACTTGAACCCGGGGTGCCGGTGCCTCAGGCAGAGGATTAGCCTAGTGAGCAGCTGCGCCGGCCCATTTACTTACTCTTAATTTGAGAATCAGAGCTCCCATATGCTGGTTCACTCCCCCAATGCTAAGCTGGACTCTGGGAACTCAAGCCAAGTTTCCCACATGGGTGGCAGGAACCCAATGACTTGAGCCATCACTGCTGCTTCCCGGGGTCTGCATTAGCAAGAAGCTGGAGGGAGGAGCCAGAAGTGGGTACGGAACCCAGGCACTCTGACATGGAATGTGGCATCTTAAGCATAAGGCTAAATGCCCACCCAGAGCCTAGATTTTAATCAGACTTTAAAGCTCATAATTTAATCTTCAATGTCGTTCCTTAAAATACAAGCTGCTGCAATCCCTCAATGTCTCCAGCTCACACCTCAAGCATTTATTGAAATACAGTTTGTATCTAATGGCTGATTAACGACAGGCACAGTTTCACAGTGAGGAATCTTGGAGGTCTTAGCTTCCTGAAGATGAGTATCAGGGCAGACAGTTCAAAAACTAGCTTACAGGTGGCACTTGAGTTCCTTAATAATTCAGTTTTCCTAGATCACATGTAAATACAAATAATTGTGCTTTCGGTGGTAAAAAGTCATTTCGACTCCCCTTCCTTGAGTTCCCTGAAAATTAGACAAAGGATTTTCACAATCTTAAAACAGAGAGGTTTCACACCTCCATGAAGTAACCTAGAGGGATGCAAACATCACTGGACCCCCGGACTTTAACTCTAGAAAACCACTCTCAGCCCCTTTTTGGAAAACAACAACATTTGCCTATGTCACCTCAGGGCCTGAGTTTCTATTTCAGACACCCAGTCTGCATATCTATCATCCCAGCAGTTAGCAACAGTAGCTGTTCGGCCATGATTTATGGGAGAATTACTAAAGGAATATACTCAAGATTTATTTTAAACGGGATACAGAAAGCCGACTCTAAAATGAGCAGTGAGAGTCATTTGTCAGAACAACAGGCACCAGTAGACAGTGTGCTATCGTTATATCAGCACCAGCAAGGACTTTATGAGCTGGGACGGTGGACTGCACGCACTGAATACCGTACAGGTCAAATTCTAAAGATCGTCCAGGAAGAGATTCCAAAACAAAAAAGCAAAACCAAAAAACTTAATCTTTTGACACAAATCGATGAGTCTCAAACTTTTTCAGACACGCGCCGCACAGAGAATGTCAAGCTGTTTGACTTAGTTACACACTGAGTAGCTACCAGAGGAGAAGCATCATCCGAGACGATCAATTCATGGACCCGGCGCTTCAGTTTACCAAGCTGGAATGAACTAAGTGGCGTGAGTCAGTGTTCTCGTAAAACAGCCCAAGACACCGCCAGCGGTTCCGTCACTCATCATCGGTTTCCACATTCCACGAATAAAGATTAGTTTTCTCAACACCTGACTTCTAGTGGGAGCTTCTTCGGGAAACACCATTTCCCCCTCGCGTTTCCAGATCTGCCCTCCCTGAGGTCCTCGGGCACCCGAAGGCATCCCACTAAGTGGGACGAGGCTTCCAGGTCTACGGACTCGCATCTCTCTCTCCACGGCTCCCTCCGGCCAACAGGGGAGCCGGCCCAACTTTTGGCTATCTCAGCCCCAGCAAGGGCCTTGGGTAATTCATCACCGCTAAGTTCTGGGCTGCCGCGGGGATCTGTGGGCGGGACACGATCCTCCGCCACGCCAGAAGACGGCCCAAAGGCAGGGCTGAGCGCCAACGCCGTGTTCCGACCCACCAAGTCAGCCTGGGCCAAACAGCCCCCTGGGTCCGCGGGGTCACCACGGGGCAGAGCCAGAGGACGGCCGCGGCGGCGAGGCCACCACACCCCTCACGCCCCGGAGCCGGGGCGGCCAGGCCCCACCGCTCGGCCCCCACGCAGGGTCCCCGGGCCCGGAGGACCACACCGAGGCGAGGTCTCACCGGGCCCACACGGCCCGGCCTCCTCGCCCCCTCGCGGCGCCCCTCTTTTTTTCGGGGGGCTCCCTCCCGCCGGCTGCCCCCAAGGGTGCGAACTCACGGCCGCCGCGGCGCCGGTGAAAATGTCCTCCCCCTCGGTGTCGCTGTCCCCGGCCTCGGGTTCTGACCCCCCGGCGGCCCCTTCGGACTCCGACTCCAGGCCCGGGAAGGGTGGAGGGAGTCTCTCCGATGCGCTACAGCCGCCACCACCCGTCGCCATCTTCCTCCACCCGCGGCGGAAGCCGCAACAACAACTTTATAGAGAGATAGCGCCGCGAGCAAAGCGTTCCTGGGGGTACTGGGAGCTCGAGGGCCGCGGCGGACCCTGCGGGCCCGGCGGCGCGGGGGCGTGGGGGCGGGGCCCAGGGGCCGGGGGCGGGGCGAGCCGGGCCGTCGCCCGCCGCCCGCGAATCGGAGCCCTGCGCCGCGGCCCCGCGAGCTCCCCGGGGCGGGCCGAGGGGCAGAGAGGAGCAGTCAGGGGCTGCTCAGGTTCTCCGTGTTCCCTGCGATTGCTTTGTCTAACCGGCTTCTGAAGATTTCGGTTGAATAAAGGAGCCTTTAGTCTGTGACTAAAAATGTTTGAAAGCCTCTACATGCCACCTTTCCAGGCCAAGCACAGTTCCCCTCTCCAGAGATTCAAGAAATATTTTTGACTGAGGTCTCTGAACAGACAGCGGGAAAGTTTGACCACTTGTTCTTTGAACTACAGGGCGTTCATCCAAGAAATATGTACTGAGCATCTACCGTGTGCCTGGCAGCTTGCTGTGCATTTGAGGTACAGAAATAAACAAGCTCCTGGCCCACCTACGGAGGTGCTTACAACCCATGAGACACAGACAGCCATGCAAATCAACAGTTCCACACGCTCAGCGCCCCAGCACGGTGAACAAGACCTCCAGTTCTGCTTGGGGAAGCGCGGAGGGTGAGCAAACCCCACCGAACTAGATTTGGTCGGGAAGAAGTGAGGCTTGTCTTCACTGCTGTGGAGTAAGCGGAGTGGAACAGATGGCAGGGGCGGTATCAACTGCTCAAACATTTTTTTCTAGGGTTTAAACTACTCAAGGACTGGTGAGTCTAAAGTCTAAATCAGGAGGCGGCTTTATGGCTCAGCGGGTACAGCTGCTCCTGCGATGCCGCTTATTATCCCATGTGGACACGGTCGGAGCTCGGGCTGTTCCGTTTCCCATCCAGCTCCCTGCTAACGTGTCTGGGAAAGCAGTGCAGGACGGCCCAAGTGCTTGGGCCGCTGCACCCATGTGCAAGACCTGGATGGAGTGCCAGGCTCCTGGCTTCGGCCTGGCACAGCCTGGCTGTTGTACTCCTGGCTTCGGCCTGGCCCAGCCCTGGCTGTGGTGGCCACTGGGGAGTGAACCAGCGGATCAAAGAGCTCCCCTCTTTCTGTAACTCAGCCTTTCAAATAAACAAATCTTATTTTAAAAAGCCTAAATCAACCAGATAAACAAGACAGGCATCTTAAAGACACATGGGGTATGTTATAAGGGATAGTGCTGTAAGATAATCTGACTTTCTTCTCAACAGAGATGAAATTTATCACGAACTGACAAAAGGTTTACTTTGTTCCTAACTGCAAATTCTTCAGCGTCAGAGGCTGGCTCCCTCACAGGGCTGCGAGAGGTTTCAGGGCAGGGGCCCTGTCCTATCTCGGCACCTACAGATCGCATCTGGCAAATTAAGTACCCAATTCATAGCTGAGATTTAACTGGAGGACGAGACGGATAAAATAACATCATCAACTATGTTAACGGCATCCATGACAACACGTACACCAGATGGCTTGAGACGTCCTTTTTAGCATAGCGAACTCCATTCTGTCACCGTGGGTGCAGGGAAAGTCCTCTTAGCTCTAAGTCGTCTTTGGAGGCGATTGGCAGAAATATTCAGCCCACAGTGATGAGCTGGGCTGGACTGAGTCCCTAGGAGGCGAGAAAACCAGAGATCCACCATGCCTAACTGTCCTTACTGGCCTCCCCGACATCCCATTTCACCGCAACCGGAAACCCGCTTCTGGCCTGATTAGGAAGACAGACCGGCTGGAAGCAGCTCCCTCCGAGAAGTAACTGTAAATAGTCTCCGTACTAGAAACCACTCTCCTTTCCTCTACCTCTTCAGGATTCATCTTTAGCTTTCTGTGGGCACTGATCAGGCGGTGGGTGACAGACCGTTACACGCCCACTCGGAGGAGGAAACTCCAAATCCCAGAATACTGTTCGCCGTATTCCGAGGAAAACATCCCATACATCCTAGCGCGCATAGCGCCAGCTGGGTCACGCGGATTGTTTTTTTTTTCTTGCTGCGCTGAAGCCAAGCAAAGCATGCTGGGGTTTGTAGTCCTTGCGGCTCCCTTCCCTAGGTCTTTCGCGCTACTCCGTCGGGCCCCGCCTCTTCTCTGCTCCTTTGACCCTTTCTTTAGACTAGTGTTGGCCCTTTTGAAGACCAGGAAGTTGCTAAATCCCGACACCGGCAGCTGAGAGACGGTGGCTCGGGTGGGACAGTCGCCAGGGATGGCGGAGCGTGAGAATGGAGCGGGTGTCCGGGCTGTTCTCCTGGACGCTGAACAGAGTCCTGTGGCTCTCAGGCCTCTCTGAGCGGGGAGCTGCCCGGCAGCCCCGGATCATGGAAGAGAAAGCGCTAGAGGTTTATGGTAATTAACTTTACGCAGTGCAGCATTTGGTGGTATATGTAGGCGCGGGGGCGGAGGACGGGCTGGGGTGGGGGAGAAGGGCCTCACCTGAGGGTGTGGGAGTGACACTGGGGTTTTCGCTGGATCTCGTCGCTAGCGAAGAAAGCGTTTTCTTCTGGGGCGGGGGTGGTGGTGGTGGTGGTGGTGGTGGTGGTGGTGGTGGTGGTGGTCCTAAGTCACGCGAGAGTGCGGGTTCGTCCAGGACCCCGGCTCTTCCTAAACCCCCGGCAAGCTGAGCCTGGAGGCCTTCAACGTCTCACCCCCTTAACCTGCCCCGCGCCCTCGTGGCCGTCGTGGGCAGAGCGGAAGCGTACGGTGCTTGGCCTGCGGGCAGAGCTGGCCTGGGCTCCTACTGCCTGATCCTCCTTGCTTCTCTAGCTCCCGCACGCGTACTCCTCTTCCCACTACTGCTGGGCGATGGCCGAGCTGGGTACGGCCCCAAGGTCACAGCCACTGTCTTCTGGGGCAGTCAGTAGGCAGAGGTCTCAGAGCAGGGCGACTCGCATAGCGAGGCCTCGAACTTACAGTTCCTCAGCACAGCCATGCCGAAGTGCGAAACACACACACACACACACACACACACACACACACACGGTGGGGTGCCTCATGGAAAGTGAGCCCTGTGTTTTAATTCCGTTTTCCACCAATTTGAAGTACCCTCATGTGTGCACACACACAGTGTTTTTTCTCTACAGTAAGTATTCCCCAACCTGTGGGACCATCTGCATTGTGCAGATATGGAAGCAACAACCTGGAGCCTGGAGCCCACACCAAAGGCCGCGTCTTCTGATCCCAAACTGACTGCACTTTTCACCATCTCACAGCTGCTTAGGACTCTTTTTCTTGGAAAAAAAATTTTTTTTAACTAAATAGAATTGATGCACTGTTGAAAGAGCTGGCAGTAAGAATACCAATATAATCTGGGTGAGGATTACAGGCCAGAAGGAAGTGGGGGGTGAGAAAGACCTCTGGGGTTGGTCTAAATGCTCTGTCTTGCTAGAGGCAGGACTCACTTAACCTGGCCAGATGGTTAAGGTGTGTCGTAGACTCATTCCTGTCCTGCCATACTCTATGGCATCCTGGGATGCAGGGCACTGGGGACACAGCTTTGAAGAGCGCTGCTTCTAGTCCTTAAGCTTACATTGAGGAAAGCTTATCTTTGCAAAAACACAGTATATGATAGACAGGCATAGACTTGAAGACGTAGTACCGAAATTCAAAGGACAGATCCTCATTTCTAGGGGAGGGGAGGGGAATCTGGGAAAACTTGGAAGCGGAGTCATTTGCATTGGCCTTGGAGAATAATTGGGATCTGGATATGTAGGGGGTGAGAAGGCATACTAAGCAGAGGAAGCTGGAGCAAAAGTGTGGAGCTGGGGCGCTAAGGGGATGACAGGTGTGCGGGGCTACAGGCTGTGGCTGAAGATGGAGGTGAGGTTGATGATAGGTTTGAATTGGATACCCAAGATTTTAAATTTAAATGAAGCCAGAGAAAAATTTTAGTCAGAGAGTAATGTGGAGAGCAGCATTGTTTTGTTTTTGAAGAAATCCATCCACGCCTCTGAAACTGCTAGAAAACTTGAGAAGTTTAGTCAGGGGGTGAGCTTTAAAGAATACAGTCCAGTGAGTTTAAATGAGCCTTGGCTGGACCCAAGCCTAGGAGGAGAGGCGGAGAATTCCTTGTCAAAAAATCCCGTCTCTTTGAGTCCCATAGTAACACAGCTCTAGGAAAGAGAAGTTAAATCTGCTTCCCCGTGTTCAAATCCTGCTTCTAATCAAGTGGTAAGCCTCGGAGATACCTGGGGAGAAAGTAGGAGATTGGTCTGTGTTTCTCAACCGCATCTGTGTTTGCAAGGGAGCCCTGAATAGTAGAAGGGAGCCTCAGGCTTGAGGACCTCACGCCCACCATGTGGACAGGGCTGCCGCTTTCTGCCTCGCTGTTCCTCTTTATCAATTCTCCTCTTCTGTTACAGCCTCCTGGTAAGAAGGAAGTCTTGCCTCTCCCAGGGCAGCCCCGGTCCCCGCCTTCGTGACCCCATCGTCTTCTGCTTATTTGCCCAGCTTCCCCTCCTCCCCTCTTTATGTTTTCTGTCTTTCCCTCCCTGTTTAATCTTTCCTTTGGGGCTTTAAAACATACTCAGGTTTCCCTAACCCTCGTCATTGTTCTGGCTTCCTTGCTAAGCTGCTGTCCTTTCTCTGCCCTTCCCTTCCCAACCAAGGCCCTAGGAATATACTTTCAGTCCTGGCTCGCTTTCTCCTTTGCGAGCTGGCCTGGGCCCTTGCATCACTAGCAGAACTTCTTTCCTCCAGATGGCCTCCTGGCTGACAGGTCGAAGACTTGCCTCAGCTCTCGGCGGCCTCAGTGCTCTGGCAGCATCTGATGCTGCAGCCGCCTCTCTCCCTCTCTGCTTTTTCTTTCTTTACTTTCTCATTCTGACCCTAAAGTTACGTGCTTCCCATGAGTCTTTCCTTGGGTCTCTTTCTCTTTACACCAATGATTCCTCAAACTGGGCTGCACATAAGAATTACCTGAGGAATTTTTTTTCTTACTAAAGATTGATTTATTTATTTGAAAGGCAGAATTAGAGAGAGAGAGGGAGAGACAGAGAGAGAGGAGATCTTCCATCCGCTGGTTCACTTCCACAAATGGCCACAATGACCAGAGCTGGGCCAATCTGAAGTCAAGAGCTAGGAGCTTCTTCTGGGTCTCCCACATGGGCCCAAGCACTTGGGCCAACTTCTGCTGCTTTCCCAGGCACATTAGCATGTAGCTGGACCAAAAGTGGAGCAGCCAAGACTCGAACTGGTACCTATATGGGATGCCAGCACTGCCAGCCATGGCTTAACCTGCTGTACCACAGTTCTGGCCCCAGCTTGAGGAATTTTTTAAAAAAAAATCTTTGTTTATTTTCATCACTTGAAACGTAGAGCAAGAGAGAGTGACAGAAAGAGAGAGAGACCTTCCACCCCCTGGCTCACTCTCAAAATGATGGCAACAATTAGGGAGGGCTAGGCCAGGCTGAAGCCAGGAGCCAGGGACTCCATCTGGGTCTCCCACATGGGTGGCAGAGACCCTAGCACTGGAGCCGTCATCTGCTGCTTCCCAGGGTGTGTCAGCAGGAAGCCATATTGGAAGTGGAGGTGCCAGGACTTGAACCCATGCTCTGATAGGAGATGTGGTTGTCCCCAAGCAGTGGCTTAACTCCCTGTGCCACAACAACCACACCAACCTGAGGCATTTTTTAAACTCTTAATGCTCAGGCCATACTCCAAACCAGTTAAATCAGAATCTCTGGGAATAGGGTCCAGGTATCAGTTTTTTGTTTTAAAACATTCCTGATAATTCCAGTGTTCAGCCAAGGTCCTACTCATTTTTTGTGAGACGTATGGGTTCAACAACCGCCCTAGCCTCTGTGTGCTCTTAAATCCCTAAGGTATGGTTGAACATTTGCTGGAAAATTCCATGAGATTGCCCCTGAAGCACCTCAAAAACACTGTGTATGAAACTGAACTCATTTACCCAGGACCCTCTGTATTTCTTCCTTGTCCTTAGACTAAAATATGACTCGTCTTCCTTTTCCTTGTCATCTACAGCCAAATGATGGTCAAATTCTGTTGATTCTGCCTCTGAAATGACTTCCTCATCTGTCTCTGTTACGTTGTCACGTGCTGCCTATTTTAGGCCCAGCTTTTTCGGCTGGTATCACTGGCTCTGTTCTTTATTTCTGAATCTAGCAGCTGGCGGATGAGATACCAGCTGACGGTACAATGCGATCTATGTCACTGCCTTTGTTAGAGTCTCTTTAGGGCTCCCTGTTGCCTGTAGCTGACTGTAAAAGACCTTTGATGCTTTCGCTCAAACCTATCCTGCTACTCTTCCTCACTTCTTGTTCTTCACTTTAAGTATTAGCTATGCATGCATGTAATTCAAAAATGTTTTCACTAAAATTTTAATTGTTTCCCATGAACTTTCTGAAGTTCCCTCATATTGAAAAGTTAGCTATTTTTAAAATGTTATTTTTATTTAGTTGAATGACAGAGAAGCAGAGAGAGAAACCCAGATCTTCCATCTACAGGTTCACTCCCCAGATGGCCACAGCAGCTGAAACTGGGTCAGGCCAAAGCCAGGAGTCAGGTCAGGTCTTCCACATGAGTGGCAGGGACCCAACTACTTGAGCCATTGCCTGCTGCTTCCCAGGATACGCGTTAGCAGGAAGCAGCATCAGAAGTGGAGCTAGAATTTGAACCTAGGCACTCTGAAATGGGATGTAGGTGTCAGAAGCATCAACTGCTGTGCCCAATGCCTGCCCTAAAATGTTACCCTTTTTTGTTTTAAATATTCATTTATTTTATTTGAAAGGCAGAGTTACAGAGAGGCAGAGGCAGAGAGAAAGAGAGAAAGAGAGAGGTTTTCCATCCGCTGTTTCACTCCCCAGATGGCTGTAACGGCTGTAGCTGCGCCAATCCAAAGCCAGGAGCCAGGAGCTTCTTCTGGGTCTCCCACGCAGGTGCAGGGGCCCAAGCACTTGGGCCATCTTCCACTGCTTTCCCGGGCCATTAGCAGGGAGCTAGATCTGAAGTGAACCAGCCAGAACTCATACCAGCATCTATATGGAATGCAGGCACTGCAGGTGGAGGCTTAACCTACCACACCACAGTGCTGGCACCCCCATTTTTAAAGACTTGATTCACCTTTCACCTGCTTGATACCATTTGCTCCCAAGCTAAAAGTTTTTTCTTCTCCCTGAGTTTCCTTGACACTTTTCCCGTTCTCTTTGTATTCTCTGCAGTATAGAACCCAAGAAGCTGGATATAGTCTCTCTTGATAATACAAGAAAATGGTTTTTTCAAAAGGAAACCAAGGGTGGAAATTTCTGTCAGAAATTTGGGACTTGGCTGTAGTATTTACTTAAACCAAGAAAAAAAATTGGTGCTTATGTTGGGACTGCCAAATTGTTCCTTATTTAGAAATATTCATGTTTTAATAGTATGCCTTGTTTCCGATGATTCCTTAGATTTGATTCGAACTATCCGGGACCCAGAAAAGCCCAATACTTTGGAAGAACTGGAAGTGGTAACGGAAAGTTGCGTAGAGGTCCAGGAGATAAATGAAGATGACTATCTTGTTGTTATCAGGTTCACACCAACAGTACCTCATTGCTCTTTGGCAACTCTCATTGGTAAGGGTCTGTAAGTATATGAATTCACACACGTGAGGTTCTGGGTGTATGGGGGTAGATTTCTTCATTTTCCAAATGAGGAGCCTGAAGATCAGAGAGGTTAAGCAAGACTGCCCAGGATTACAGCCAGGAAATGGTGCCGCTGAGGCTCAAGCCCCTGTCTCCTGTCTCCTGTCTCCACAGCTCTTAGTCATCTAGTGACAACGCGCTGCTTCCTAGGTAGCCGCCCTCAGGACTAACGGAGAGTGGCTGTGGGCAGCTCCTGCTGCTCAGTTCTGGAGACTGGAGTGTTGCTGTCACACCAGCTCTTGCTGTCTGTCTTGCAGCTGCTCTGTTGGCTTCTCTGTGGGGTGGGCAGAAGTCCTGGGGAGGGGCTATTTTTTGAGGCAGTCTTCTATTTAAGAGGATATATTCCCAATATTTTGAGTCAGTTCACAGTAGATAAATAGGTCTCTGTGACAATTTACTTTGTTATAAAGAATATAAAGGGAGTTTGTTTTAAACCAAATGTTCATCAGTAGGGAGCTGATTAAATAATCAGTAATGGTAAATGTGACCAATGGAATTCCATGCAGTTATAAAAAAGGGTAAAGAAGCTCTCTATATTGAATTTATTTTTAAGAGATTTATTTGCAAGTTAGAGTTACAGAGAGGGACGGAGAGACAGAGATCTTCTGTCTGCTGGTTCACTCCCCTGATAGCTGCAATGGCTGAGGCTGGGCCAGGCCAAAACCAGGAGCTTCTTCTGGGTCTCTCATGTGGATGTTGGAGCCCAAGCACTTGGGCCATCTTCCGCTACTTTTCCCAGGCGTTAGCAGGGAGTTGGATCAGAAGTGGAGCAGCCAAGACTTGAACCAGCGCCCATGTGGGATGCCAGCATTGCAGGCAGCAGCTTTATCCACTACACAACAGTGCCAACCCCTATTTGTATTTTATTTCATAAGCATAAAGAATACGTAAGAAGAGAATTGCTGTGATGGATATTTGGGGTAATGGTGGTAGGAACTGGGCATGTGAAGGACAGGGTTGAGGAATATTTTTGTATGTTTAAAATTTTTGGGCCAGCGCCGCTGCTCACTGGCCGGTGCCGTGGCTCACTCAGTTAATCTTCCACCTGCGGCGCCAGTACCTGGGGTTCTAGTCCCAGTTGGGGCGCCAGATTCTGTCCCTGTTGCTCCTCTTCCAGTCCAGCTCTCTGCTGTGGCCTGAGAAAGTAGTGGAGGATGGCCCTAGTGCTTGGGCCCTGTACCCTCATGGGAGACCAGGAGGAAGATCCTGGCTCCTGGCTTCGGATTGGTGCAGCGCGCCAGCCATAGCGACCATTTAGGGAGTGAACCAACAGAAGGAAGACCTTTCTCTCTGTCTCTCTCTCTGTCTCACTGTCTAACTCTGCCTGTCAAAAAAAATTTTTTTTGAACCATGGGAATATATCATCTATTAAAAGAGCAAATAAGTTTACTGAAAGGATTGAAAAAGTCAGTATTCCATATTACTCCCATGATTATTGTGATTTTTTAAAAGATTTATTTATTTATTTGAAAGGCAGAGTTACAGAGAGGCAGAGAGAGAGAAAGAGAGGTCTTCTATCTGCTGGTTCACTTTCCAGTTGGCTGCAACAGCCCAAGCTGTGCTGATCCAAAGCCAGGAGCTTCCTCCAGGTCTCCCATGCAGGTACAGGGGCCCAAGGACTTGGGCCATCTTCTACTGCTTTCCTAGGCCATAGCAGAGAGCTGGATCAGAAGTGGAGCAGCCTGGATTCGAACTGGTGCCCATATAGGATGCTGGCACTGTAGATGGTGACTTTACCCGCTGCGTCACAGCGCTGGCCTCTATGATTTCTGTCTTTGACTTCTCATCAGTTGACCTGAGTTCCCTGAGATAGAGGTTTCTAAAATATGGACTGAGGGACTGGAAGGTCTGTGAATCTATAGGTATTATCATTGTTTAAGTTCTAAAACTAGAAAAAGCACTATTGAATGCATAGTTACTTTTTGTCACTGGACAATTTCTGAACCAATAGATATTGAAAATACTTCTATTATCTTTATTTTTTTAAATATTTTTATTTTATTCATTTGAAAAAGTTACAGAGAGAGGTAGAGCCAGAGAGAGAGAAAGAGGTCTTCCATTCTGCTGGTTCACTCCCCAAATGACCTCAATGGCCAGAGCTGAGATGATCTGAAGCCAGGAGCCAGGAGCTTCTTTCAAGTTTTCCACATGGGTGGCAGGGGCCCTACCAGCCCATAACAGAGAGCTGGATCGGAAGAGGAACAGCTGGGACTAGAACCAGTGCCCATATGGGATGCCAGCGCTGTAGGCGGCAGCTTTACCCACTATGCCACAGCGCCAGCCCCTGCTATTATTTTGATGTAAAAGTATGTCTTAAAATACTTTGACATAATGTTAAGAGTCCATAAATAGAGGGTTCAAGAGCCTAGACCAAATTTTTTTTTCCTTTAAAGATTTATTTATTTGAAAGGTTGAGTGACAGTGTTGTACCTGAGTGAGTGTAAACAAAGGAGCACCACACATTGATAAAATTTGATGGTCCTTTATTGCCGGCGGTAGAGAGTGGGCTAATGCCCTAAAGAACTCTCGACCCTGAAGCCCAAAGCAACAGGGTTTATAAAGGCAAAAACCACAAAATTGGGAGGTGAATACATGGTTACTGGGATTGGGGGGAATACATGGTTACTGGGGTCAAGCTGACCTAAAACCTATGCGGAACTAGTATCAATTATAATCTTGACAATACCAGTTACAGTGTTAACAGTTTTAATTATAATCTTGACATTAATCCAGGTATTGGTTTTAATCACATGTAGGACATAGACAAATTATATTTTTGTCATTAACCCAGGTACAGCCTATCTACTTCCAAGCTTGAGTGATCATGCTAGGGGGTTTCTATGCTCTGCCAGGTGTGATGTAGTGGACTGCTATTGTCCAACTGTTTTAGATCATAGTTTCAGACCAGAGTCTCATGGTGGGGGGGGCACCTTCCCAGAATGGAGTCTCAGGTTCTCCAAAATGGAGTCCCTACTGTCAAGGTGTTACTTCAACAGAAAGAGAAAGAGAAAGAGAAAGAGACAGAGAGAGAGAGAGAGAGAGAGAGAGAGAGAGCTTCCATTCTTTAGTTTACTCCTGAAATGGCCTTAACAACCAGATCTGGGATAGTCCAAAGCATGAGCCAGGAACTCTGTTGTAGTCTCCCACATGGGTGGCCTGAGCACTGTCTTCCCAGGTGCATTAGCAGGGAGCTGGATCAGAAGTAGAGTAGCCAGGACTTGAACCATACTCCAGCATGGGATTCCCATGTTATTATAAGCAGCAGCTTACCCTGCTACACAACACCTATCGCAACAAATTCATTTTTTAAGATTTATTTTATTTGTTTGAAAGGCAGAGTTACAGAGAGAGGGAGAGATAGAGAGATCTTTGATCTCCTGGTTCACTCCCCCAGATGGCCCTAATTGCTGGAACTGGGCCAGGCAGAAGCCAGGAGCCAGGAGCTTCTTCTGGGTCTCCCATGTGGGTGCAGGGGCCCAAGGACTTGGGTCATCTTCTGCTGCTTTCCTAGGTGCATTAACAGGGAGCTGGATTGGAAGCGGAACAGCTGGGCGCCCATATGGGATGCCAACATTGCAGGTGGCGGCTTAACCCACTATGCTACAATGCTGGCCCCAACAAATAAAATGTATTTAAATTATAAAAGTAACAAGTTTATTAACAATAATTTTGAAGCTGTGCTGAACATAAAGGAAGAAATAAAACCTGTTGTCATGAAAGAACGTGTGCCCTGGGCTGAAATTCCAGTTCTAACAGCTCTGCTGTGTTGTAGCCGTGGGCAAGTTACTTAACCTCGCAGAGTCTCAGTTTCCTTATCTGTAAAATTGGGACAGTTAAAGGTTACCTACAGAGTGGGAAGAGCAAAGTCAAAAGCTTGCAATATATGAAAAATGTTGTTTTTTTATCATTCACTATGAGCTTTCTATTAGTCATACAGTTTAAGTACACAGTTACATGACACATAATCAAAAAGTTCATGCAAAATGTATATCATTTTCAGAACTGGGGACAAGCGTTTGGCGCAGTGTTTAAGACCCTGCATTTTGGAGTGCCTGGGATGGGATCCTGGCTCCACTTCCAATTCCAGCTTCCTGCTAATAAGCCTCCCTGGAGGCAGCAAATGATGGCTCAAGTGCTTGGGTCCCTGCATCCATTGGGTAGACTTGGATTGAGTTCCTGGCGCCTGGCTTTGGCCTAACTGCCATTTCTATTGTGGGCATTTGGAGAATGAATGAATGGATGGAAGATCTTTTTCTTTCTATCTATCCTTTCAAATGAAATGAAAATAAATAATAAAATTAAACAAAAGCTATGAATAGACTTCAAAATTTTTTGCACCAAAACATTTAATTCAATTTTTCTGTGAACCTTTTGAAGTTCCTTCTTATAGTTACATGTCATTCTTCTTGATATATCATAAGTTTTGCAACCTTTTAGACTATTTCTAGCCTTTTGCAATTATAAATAATACTATGACTGTTCTACAGAGTCATATCTGTGGCTTCCTGTCTTTTAACACATGAAGAATTGGAGGCAAAGAAATGAGTACTTAGAGAAGTCTGGGACCAGCATGTTCCCTGTAGGCTCAAGGTCAACCGTCCTTGTAGAATGAATGAATAATACTGTGATGAATAGTCTCCTGTATCTCGTATATATGACAAATCCTTATCAAGAAGTTTATATTCTTTGGTCTAGGAATTAAGGAAATAATTCCATAGAAGGACATAATTATCAGGTATAAAACGTCTCTGGTAAATTCATCATAGTGAAACTTGGAAGCAACTATATTTATAGAAAATGGCACTAATGTAATGGGATTCCCTATTGCTGTTGTAAAAGATAAATACTGTGTAATCAAGGAATCACAGTTTTTCTTTAGAGATGTATGAAAAAGCCTCAGTGATGATTTCCATGTGCATTATGACTGCAATGATAGATAAACTGTTCTGGGGACAGAGATTGAGTGAAATGTAAATAACCCTATGTAGGAGGACTAAGATAAGGTTCTGGTCAGCATTTCAGACACGTACACTGCCCAGAGTTTGGTCACTTCTGTTGGTCCTTTTGATAAGGGGTTAAGAGCGTAGGCCTTTTCGAGAGTAGTCTAATGGTCTGTCGCAGTAATCGTGTCCCGTGAGCCCCGCTGCCGAGCCCGGTGAGGAAAGCTGGCTTTCTGGCTGGCGTGCCGAGGAGCAGGTCGTCCTCCCAGGGCAAGGAGAGGCGCCTGAGTGACGGCTCCACCCTGCCTGGGGAGGAATGCCAGAGATGAGGAAGTCCGTGAAGGCGTTAAGTGGGGAAGGCAGGGGAACCAGTGGATAACAATTTGTGTTGCCTTAGTCCGGGAAGAATGCTGAAGGCAGCTGTGGTCCAATGAGCTCGGCATAGGATTTGGAGTAGGAAGGTCTGGGTTCAGTGCCCACCTCTGCCACCACGTGATGTTGGATAAATCACTTCACTTGTTTTGCTGGCTGTGAGATGAAAATTCTACAGTAATGATGCTGGCATTTAGTGGATACTTACTGTCAGGGGGTATTTAAGCACTATGTGTAGCGATTTATTTACTCCTCCCAGCAGCCCACGGATGGTGGTGCTATTGCAAATAGAGGAACTGAAGGGCAGAGAGGCTTAAGTAGCTTGCCAGGGTCACACAGCTAGTGTGTTGCGGAACAAGTGTTGACCCCCGCATGGCTATCTCAGTTGTGCTCCGCTGTGTCTCTTGAGGATAATAGTTCTCAAGAAAGTGTTTTGTGAATGGTAACACAGTTACTAATGGGTAAAATACCTACCAACAATGACCAGAACACATGAGGATGCTCAGATGGTATGCAAATAATAAATTAAGGAGACAGAGTTGGGGCAGAGGGAGGGAAAGAACCCTCCCAGATATACATAAGGCAGGTCCTTTAAATGGAGACCCACTTAAGGGAATGATAATGTTTTCTTTAGTGTCCCCTAGTATTTATCATAGGATTACTATGTTTTTAGACTGCCTGCAAAGCCAGGGCACTAAAGGCTGAAACTCTATTTATAATAAGAGTAACTTGATTCAGCTTCTGTTGTCTAGAATACAGATTTGGTTAAAAATTCTTTCTTTAGTTTGAGGTGAGGGGTAAGTGGAACATTGGCACCAACGACCTGTTCCAAGTCCAGTTTTAATTTCTGCTACAGGTCTCAACTGCAAACGGAAATTATTCAGCTGTGACTTAGCATGGGGTGATAAACTGAACTTTAGCAGAGCTTGCTTTAGGGAAGTAGTTTGTATCTTGCAGGTGTAAAGGAATCCAAATTTGAGAAGTTTCATGTTATATTATTTATTCGAGAGGCAGAGAGAGGAAGCTGCCGTTTTTTTGGTTCATTCCCCAAATGCCCACAACAGCTGGGGCTGGGTCAGGGCCGAAGCCAGGAGCCAGGAACTCAATCCAGATCTCCTATACAGATGACAGGGACCCAAGTACTTGAGCCATGCTCCTAGGATCCACATTAGCAGTTAGCTGGAATCAGGAGCTGGAACCAGGAATTAAACCCAGAAACTCCAAAGTGTAGGATGGATGTCCAAACTTATGTCTTAACTTCCAGGCCCAACATGCCCCATGTGATCTTTTTTACCTTATTTTTATTTTTTAGAAGAGAGAATTTTAAAAATATGTATATTTGTTCAGCTAGTGCTGCGGCTCACTAGGCTAATCCTCCGCCTTGCGGCGCCGGCACACTGGGTCCTAGTCCCGGTTGGGGCGCCGGATTCTGTCTTGGTTGCCCCTCTTCCAGGCCAGCTCTCTGCTGTGGCCAGGGAGTGCAGTGGAGGATGGCCCAAGTGCTTGGGCCCTGTACCCCATGGGAGACCAGGATAAGTACCTGGCTCCTGCCTTTGGATCAGCGCGGTGCGCCAGCCGCAGCGCGCCAGCCGCGGCGGCCATTGGAGGGTGAACCAACGGCAAAAAGGAAGACCTTTCTCTCTGTCTCTCTCTCTCTCACTGTCCACTCTGCCTGTCCAAAAAAAAAAAAAAAAAAAAAGTATATTTGTTCTACTTATTTCAGAAACAGGAAGAGCACCCATCCTCTGGTTTATTCCCCAAGTTCCTGCAACAGCTAGAGCCTGTTCAGGCCGAAGCCAGGGGTCAGGAACTCATTCTGGATCTCCTATATGGGTGACAGGGACCTAACTGCTTTTGCCATCACTTTCTACCTCCCCAAGTGCACATAAGCAGGAAGCTGGAACAAGAATTGAAGCAAAGACTCGAACTCAGACACTAACACACCATGCCGGCAGGCCAAATACCTCCCCCAACCATGTGACTTTTTTTTTTTTTTATTTGACAGGTAGAGTTAGACAGTGAGAGAGAGAGAGAGAGAGAAAGGTCTTCCTTTTCCTTTGGTTCACCCCTCAATGGCCACTGTGGCTGGCGCGTTGTGGCCGGCGCACCGTGCTGATCCAAAGCCAGGAGCCAGGTGCTTCTCCTGGTCTCCTATGAGGGTGCAGGGCCTAAGCACTTGGGCCATCCTCCACTGCACTCCCGGGCCACAGCAGAGAGCTGGACTGGAAGAGGGGCAACCGGGACAGAACCTGGTACCCATATGGGATGCCGGTGCTGCAGGTGGAGGATTAACCAAGTGAGCCACGGGCGTCAGCCCCCAATGTGGCCTTTTTAAATGACTCTTACCGGGCTTTAAGTTTTTGTATGTGCTGGCCTGCTGTGGGCAGTCAGCACAGTTTAATGACTGAATGCCCCTTGCATGGAGGCCAGTTGATGTAGTGGTACAGTGTGGGCTTTCTAGTGGTGTTCGATTCCAGTCTCACCTGTGCCACTTGACTGGCTTAGTGACCTTGGGCAAGTTACATGTGACCTTGGATCTGTAGTTTGCAGAATGTGGTTTGTAGATAATCCAGCTCCCTGGATTATTGCGAGGACTGTGTATTAAATTTCCTGTCATGGTGCCAGGCTCAAAGGAGACTTACACGGGATTGATTCAAAGCTGTTTTCAGTTGCCCTGTTGTATGCGACACCTAGACACACTGTATGCTTTTTCAGGAACCCATAAGAAAAGATGAATTGTTAACTGGAGATGTTTGTTTTTTCTTTGCCTTCCACAGGGCTGTGCTTAAGAGTAAAACTTCAGCGGTGTTTGCCATTTAAACACAAGGTAAGGACGATGCTCATTGTTGGTGTTTAGGATAGTTCTGTTATGAATTCACATACTGTGCAGTCACCTACTTAAAGTATACGACTCAAGAGGCTGGCATTGTTGCACAATAGGTTAAGCTGCCATTTAAAACACTAACATCTCATGTCAAAGTGGCAGTTCCTATTCTGGCTACTCTGCTTCTGATCCAGTTTGCTGCCAGTGTGCCTGGGAAAAGGCAACTGCTGATGGCCCTAGTACTTGGGCCCCTTGCCACCCAGAGGGGAGGCCCAGATAGACTTCCAGGCTCCTGGCTTTGGCCTGGCCCAAGTCTGGCCATTGTAGCCAACTGGGGAATAAACCAGCAGTTGTAATACCCAGCTCCCTGGATTATCATGAGGTATAATTAAGACTATATATTAAATTTCCTATCATGGTGCCAGGCTCAAAGGACACTTACACTGAATTGATTCAAAGCTGTTTTCAGTTGCCCTGTTGACCTATCACTGTTTCTCTGTCACTCTACTTTTCAAATAAATAAATAAACCTAAGAATAGATAAAGTATGCAGTTCAGTGGTTTTTAGTAATGTAGATTCTTTACCCATGTTTAAATTGAGTTGACTTTTTATTATTGATTTGTAATGGTTCTTTATGTATTCTAGATACAAGTCCCTTACTGTTTATATGAATGGCAAATAGTTTCTTCCATTCTATGAGTTATCTTCCCACCTTTTAAAAAATTTTTTTAAGATTGATTTATTTATTCAAAAAGCAAAGTGACAGAGAGACAGAGAGAGGCAAAGAGAGATCTTCCATCTAGTGGTTTACTCTCAAATGACTATAAGAGCCAGGGCTGGGCCAAGTCAAAGCCAGGAATCAAGAACTTCATCCTGTTCTCCCACATGGGTGGCAGAGTTTGCTGCTTTCCCAGCTGTACTAGCAGGAAACTGGATTGGAAGTGGAGAGGTTGGGATTTGAACCGGTGCACTGATATGGGATGTCAATATCATAAGCTTAACCACTGTGTCACAATGCTGTCCTCTTCTCATTCTTTTTCTTTATTTTTTAGAAAGATTTATTTATTTATTTGAAAGGCAGAGCATCAGAGAGAGACGGAGAGAGGGGGAGGGGGGACAGGGGGAGAGAGAGAGAGAGATCCTCTGTCTGCTGGTTCACTTCCCAAATGGCCGCAACAGCCAGGTCAGGGCCAGGCTAAAGCCAGGAGCCTGGAACTCCATCTGGGTCTCCCATGTAGGTGGTCGGGTCCAAGCACTTGGGCCATCTTTTGCTGTTTCCCTAGGTACATTAGCAGGAAGCTGGATTGAAAGTGGAGTAGTTGGATTTCAAACTGACACTCTGCTATAGACTGTCAACATCACAAGCAGTGGCTTAACCAACTGCACCACAGTGCCCTCAGGGAGAGACGCTGAGAGCTCCATCTGCTGGTTCACTCCCCAAATGCCCAAGACAGCTGGAGCTGGGCCAAGGCCAAGCCGGGAGCCAGAAGCTTTCTCCAGGTTTCCCATGCAGGTGCAGGGGCCCAGGCACTTGGGCCATCTTGTACTGCTTTCCCAGGCCGTAGCAGAGAGCTGGATCAGAAGTGGAACAGCCAGCACTCCAACTGGCAACCATATGGGATACTGGCACTGTAGGCGGTGGCTTTACCTGCTATGCCACAGCGCTGGCCCCAATTTAATAATTTTTTAAAGTAAATGAGTATGGAGTGATTCTGTACCTGTTATTTTGTAATCTGGAATAAATGTTATACCAGTAGGGGAATTTTTATGATGTCTTTTAAAACAGGTTGAACTAGATGATCTCTCAGGTCTCTTTTAGCTATAATAGGTTATGGTTTTATTTCACTCATGAAAAACATGTATCTCAGTAGTAAATAATGAGGGTTAGTTAATTTGCACCAGTCTTCTCTGGAGAGTGGATATCTTTATCAAATACATGATTTTTTTGTCGCAGAATTTGCACTAATTTTGTGGGTTGTCTCAAAAGCTCTGATTCTAGGAGGGTACAGCAGGGTCAGAAGGGATATCCTGACCAATATTATTCATAAAAATAAATTTAGCAAGATAATAATGAATGTGAATAGAGGATAGCTTAAACTATATATATTGTGATCCCATTTTTGTAAAATAAGCAATGAAAAGAAGCTTCCAGTTTTTGAGTGTGTGTGTGTGTGTAAAATCTGTAAGATTATGTGAATGTAAGCAAAAATAGGAAAGAACCTGCCCCAGAGTGTTCATGTGGCTTTCCCAGAGGCTGGGGCAGGAGGAGGTGTAGGTCCTGACTCAGACGGAGTAGAGTGCAGGGAAATACAATTGTGAGTAAGACTGCAGGTCTGATCCTCGTTTGTGTCCCCTTGTGCTTATGTGTGTTTATGAAAACACTGAATGGAGATGCCCCCAGCAAGCCTTTCCCAAGTGACCAAAAATAAAAATGTGAAAAGATTTACCCCCAAGTCTTTAGAAACAGAATTTAGGTTGTCGTTCCAGGATTCTGCAGTCCTTGGTGCTTTCCACCTTATCTGTCATCTTAGAATGTTCTCATGTTTGTTTTGACTATTTTTCCTCCCCAGTTGGAGATCTACATTTCTGAAGGAACTCACTCAACAGAAGAAGACAGTAAGTGCCAATCTTGAGACTTTTTTTTTTTTTTTTAATTAATTTGAAAGGCAAGGTTAGAGCGAGGGAAAGACAGAGAGAGGGATCTTACACATGCTGGTTCACTGTCCAAATGGCTACAATGGCTGGGGCTGTGCCAGGCTCAAGCCAGGAGCCTGGAGCTTCATCCCTGTCTGCTGGGTGGGTGGAAGTCAAGCAGGTAAAACTTTAGGGACTCTTGAGGTATGTGCTGTGTCTCTGGATTGGTGTAGAAGAATGGGAGTGGGGAACCTTTTTGTGTATAGACTTTGACCTACAGAGAAATCAATCAGTAATCACTTAAAAATAGCAAAAGTAAGGTTTGAGAAAAACAAAAGACAAAATGTTCTAGATGGTCTGTATGTTCCATTAAAAACAATTTTATGGGGTTGGCATTGTGGCTTAGCAGATAAAGCTGCCGCCTGTGACAATAGCATTCCATATGGGCTCTGATTTGAGTCCTGGCTGCTCCACTTAGGATCCATTTCCCGACTAATGTGCCTGGAAAAACTGGGGAAGATGACCAAAGTCCCTGGGCTCCTGCCACCCACGTAGGAGACCCAGAAGAATCTTCTGGCTCTTGGCTTCATCCTAGCCCAGCCCCAGTCATTGTGGCCATTTGGTGAATGAACTAGCAGATGGAAGATCTCACTCTCTCTCTCTAACTCTGCTTTTCAAATAAATAAATAAATATTTAAGGAAAAATTTGCCATTCTAGCAGGCCAGTAAAAACACTACGTGGTGTTATATGTTGACACAGTTCTGCTAACTTTTGTCTGTGTTTTGCAGTCAACAAGCAGATCAATGACAAAGAGCGAGTGGCAGCCGCAATGGAGAACCCCAACTTACGGGAAATTGTGGAACAGTGTGTCCTTGAACCTGACTAATAGCTGCTTTAAGAGCCACTGAACCGTAATTGTTTGCTATATTTGTTTAAATGCTTTGTAAAATATAAAAAGACTCATGTTTAATACATAGGTGATTTGTACCTCAAAGCCTTTTTTAAAGGATTATTTCCAAGTGAGATTTAATTATAAGCTAGGACCTAACTTGTTCAGTGTATAACATTCTCAGGATTTGTAACACTTAAGTAATCAGACAGAAAAATATTTTCTAGCTATTATGTGTAAGATGAGTCGCTATTTTTCTGATGCCCATTCTGATAAAACTGCTTTTCATGTCAAACACCTACCGTGCCCAAAGGTGTTCACTTTAAATCATTATTCTGTAAAATAAAAAAAAAAAATATGATTCTTGTAATGACTCAGCTTAAAATGTGTTTATTGAACTGTAAATGCCGGTGTAATTGTTGATTCCCAAAAGAACTTTCCACAGCTTTATTTTTGCTGATTATAAGGTGAAATCACTTCTAAGATCCAAAAGGTACCTGGAAGATGAGATCCTGCCTTCCTTCGGTGAGAGTCGGCCCCATCTATAGAAGAGCAACCAACGCAGGCCAGAGGACAGACTCAAGTTTGTAAAAATGTTTGTTTAATTATTCTAAAGGTAGAGAGATCTCCCACCCACTGATCCACTCCCCAAATGCCTGAAAAAGCCAGGGCTGGGACAGGCTGAAGCCAGGAATTGGGAACTCGACCTGGGTCTCCCATGTGAGAGGCAGAGACACAAATACTTGAGCCATCACCTGCTGCCTCCCAGAGTGCACGTGAGCGGGAGCAGGATGCAGAACAGAGCTAGCACTGAACCCGTGCCTGGGGTTTGGGGTGGAGGTGTCCCAGGCGGTGGCTTAACTCTTATGCCAGTGCCTGTTCCAACATATAATTTTACTTTTTAAAAAATATTTTTATTTATTTTGAAAGAGAGAGAGAGCGCGCGCATGCTCCCAACAGTCAGGACTGGGCCAGACCAGAGCCAGGAGTTTCATCTGGGTTTCCCATGTTGGTGGCAGGGGCCCAAACTTTTGGGCTATCTGCTGCTGCTTTCCCAGGCCATTAGCAGGTGGGACAGGAACCAGCACTACAACACTGGCCTCCCAACATATAATTTTAAAGATCAAGAAGTCCCCCAAAGAAGTTTTTATTAAACTCGTCTCAATTTAGATTCTCTTCATTATGCTTTGTCATTTTGTTGTAGGGGTTAGTGGTTGTGTGATGTAAGGTGATTCTCCTGGTATTCATGCCCTCGTCTGGTGTCTTCCTGGCTGTGTCGGAGTGCATGGGTATGACCTCCAGTAAGGACTGGTGGAGGTAGGGACTGTGACTTCGGAGGCTAAATCATGAAAGGACTTGCTACTTTCCCCTCGATCTCTAAGACTGTGGACAACTCCACGTGGGTAGGAACTGAGCCTTGCACCATCAGCCAGCACCAACTTGTGAACCATGTTGGGAGTGATCCTGCAGCCCCAGTCAGCTTGACGTGTGGACAGGAATCTCGCGAGAGACCCTGAGCCAGAGCTGCGCTAGAGGTCACTCCCAGATTTCTGACTCCGAGAAGCTACCAGGGATAATGAGCGTTCATTGTTTAGAGTTTGGGGGTAGTTTGTTTTGAGGCAATCCAACAGGTAGAAGGTACCACCATGCTCTGATCACCCTTTTGCCAGAGGGTAGGGAGATGGCGCCTATCATCTGCTGAGATGACCTTCAGGGGACAACTCCGAGTTGGGAAATGTGTCTGTGCAGTTGGGAGCCTCAGGCCCACGCAAGAGAGCGCAAGTGGCTGAAGGTGGGGCTGACTCCTGCCCTGGAAGTCTGGAGGGTGAGAGGAAGGCAGGGCTGGCTGCTTTGAGGGCAGAGCCCTGTGGCAGGGCATGCAGGAGAGCTTCTCGTGCGTCCCGCCGTCAGGTCACATCTGACATGGTCTGGTAGTCCACCAGAGGGCCTTAGGACCTCTGCGGAACCGGTCTGGATGTGAATGCGTCCTGCCTGGTGCCCAGGACTGCGGTGAGAGGACAGAAAGTGAGAAGGCAGGGTGGCGATGCATCCGCCAGGGTCATGAGTCTCGTGAAAGTGCCACTCCCAGTGAAGAGCCAGTTCTAACCGTGGGGCAGACCCAGAGAGCACCGAGCCAACAGCTGAGGAAGACTGGCCCTCCCCGCCCTAGCACCCAGGGCTGTGGCAGAATAATACCTGGGGGAGGAGAGACGAGGACAGTTGGAGAGGAGGGGAGGGAGCAAAGGACTCCATCCCTTTTCTTCACTGTCAAGTTTGAAGCAAGCTCAAGTTAGCAAAAGATTTAATTCCAGTTTGGTCGTGGCATTGTGAGAGTCAGAGAGAGAGATAGAGCTTCCATCTGCTAGTTCACTCTCCAAATGCCTGCAATGGTCAGGAGCTGGGCTGGAGGCAAAGCCAGAGCTGGGGATGCAACCCAGGTCTCCCGTGTGAGTGGCAGGAACCTGATTTCTTGAGCTGTCACTGCTGCTTCTCAGGGCGTGCGTTTAGCAGGAAGCTGGGACGAGGACCAGAGCCAGAAGTTGAACGTAGGTGCAACACAGGCATTTTGAAAACTAGGCTGACCCCCTCCGAGTCTGTGGTGTCGACTGTTAGGTGTGACCAGGTAATTTATGAAGTGAGATTTCAGGAAGACTTACTGACAGAAATCAAATCTTCACCCAAGGGCAGATGCTCTGTGCTCCAGAGTTTTAAAGGACACTGAGGGACAAAAATAAAGCCAGCTCTTAGCCAGCATACTGGTTGCAGAAGCTCTGTTAAAATCGTCTTGGCTTCTGCCAAGGCTCTGCACTGTGGGAAGTTCTCAGCACAGCTTTATCCCTGCGTCGTCTTCTCTGGTAGTAACTGAAACGCCAGCTTTGCAGTAACAGGACTCCGAGTTCCTGACCTTTGGCTGTAAGTGTTCCCATTCGCTCCTCTTTCTTTCAGCTCTGGGAATCTGTAAGCCAGCCTTCATACTCAGAAGTAATGGAATATCCCTTATTTTTAACCATCCCTGTAGTACAACTCCATTCAGGAAAAGGTCCTTATGACCCACATGCTACACTCTGTGATCCAGGGCCAGGGCACGTGCGAGGTGCACCTGGTCTATTCCCTGTTCCATTTTCTCCCACCCAGGGCACACACGTGAACACAAACATGCTGGATGGCCAGCTGCTTCTAGAAGATACGACAGGCATCTTTTGAGCAGGCTCTGGGGATTATGGTCCAGGATCAGACTCATGCTGCTGGAACTCAGAAAACAATACTCATCGCTTTAGCATGCAGAGTTCTCTGCACTTCAGGAGATTGGAAGCAGTCGCCCTGACCTGCTCTCCTGTCTCACACTCTTCCTGTTCCCCCAGGGAGTCATAGAAGCCGGAATTTCTCCTCCCCAGAGATGTCACAGGAACTGGAACCTTCCTGCCCCAAAGCAAGCTGCAACGCGTAGAAATGGCACTAGCCTCCCCCCACCTTTCTGTGTTCAAGCTGGCCTGCCTTGCCTGATAGCACAGTCATTAGACTCTCCTTCTGGAGGGGTGCTGCCCACTCTCAGGGCTGCTAACAGGCCAGGAAGAATCCGAATAGAGAGGCCTTGCTGGGCATCCAGTGCCTACCTCGTCCTCCAGTTTATCGCCATCAGAGCCTACCCGTTTGTCCAAACATAGTTCTGCATGGCTGCCCATTCTTCATGGAGCCTGAAGGTACAATTACTTCTCCCTGGATCTTTGAGTTGTCATTTCCATAGGCTGTCATGTCCATGTAAAACTTCGGCTACATACATTTGGTATGATTTTCTCTTGGTAACATTCTAGGAGCGTCAGCCATGACCTTATATGTACAAGGAAAGATACCGCACCTTTTGTGCCCCCTGTTTTTGGCACCCAATATAGGGTGGCTGGGATACCTGACTTGCTCCAGAGCCTGCGCAGAAATCCCCAGGTTCTGACCTTATCACCGGGGCCCACTGAGGACCCGGGAGACTCAGGGAACCATCTCCAGGGCTCGAAGAGCAGGGCTGGCTACGTTCCTGCAGAAGACCCTGAATCTCCACACTCGTCGCCAGTTTCAGGTGAGACAGAGATCCCCAGTCCCATCCTCCACCCATTCGTGCACTTGCTCGCTCACTCTCTCATCTGCAGATATGCAGTGAGCACGTCAGCGCCAGGCACTGTCGCAAGTGCGGAGACACAGAGATGGATCTGCAGCTCTCTCCTGGAATGCACACGTGGTGACCTCTGCCTTCACCCTGTCTGCTCTCTAGCCTGAGCTAGTCTTGGCCAGCCAGTCACAGCCAAAGACAATACCTTGCTTAGGGACTGCCTGGTGAGGGTCTACAACTGGAAGCGGGTCACTATATGGAGCCCACAATACTGCAGGCCCTGCAGTTCCTGGAAGCTGGGTGTAACTTCTGTCGTCACCATTGCCAGAATGATTGCTCCCCACCCCTGCTTTTGTGTGTGTGTGACCCCCTTCTGCTGTCACACCTGATCCCAGGTCACATGCTGATGGCCTGGCTGCCAGGGGTGGCGGAGACTGGAGAGTCTGGCCTCCGTGTGGGGATGCAGACTCTGTCTTCCAGCAGAATTCAAAAGATCTAGAAGTTGCCCTAATATAGAAAGAGGGTTCAGATGACTGCTGCTTGAAAATGAACTTGAGCTTTATCCATCATGGCAGCATCTACAAGTGAAAAACAGAGGTACTTGCCGTCAAAAGATGTACCGTCTAGTCCATCTCCGGGAGAGGTTGACAGACTGTTTCGGAAAAGCGCCAGGCAGGAAATGCTTAAGGGTTTTGGAACCACATACTCTGTTGTAGTGATTTAACCCCACCCCAGCCTTGTGGCACAGAGGCAACAGGACAGTATGAATGAATGAGTGTGGCTTTGTGCCAGAAAAACTAAGGGCACAAATTTGAATTTCATGTGCCATGAACTGTAATTTCTTTCAACCATTAAAAAATACAGAAACCATCCTTTAGCATACAAAATCAAGCAGTGGGCTGGATTTGGCCTGTAGGTCATTAGTGGCCTCAGGGTCTAAAGTACAGTTCTTAGTTCTTAACCTTCTTGGGAGGTCTCAAAAGAAATGGGATGGACTCTCATGGGCGGGTGGCCCAGGGGCAGTGTAAGGCCTGCAGAACCATCTGGCCTGGCTCTGCCCAGGCAACCACAGGAAAGACTTGAAATTCAATAAATCTATAGTGGATTAATTTTTAAGTTGATAATTTTATAGGCCCACAAGTGATGTTAAGAATATTTGGCCAGCGCCGCAGTTCACTAGGCTAATCCTCCGCCTGGGGCGCCGGCACCCCGGGTTCTAGTCCCTGTTGGGGCACTAGATTCTGTCCCGGTTGCTCCTCTTCCAGTCCAGCTCTCTGC